CTAATAGCCCTCTATTGTGACAACAATGGAGCTATTGCTCAGGCCAGAGAGCCTAGGGAACATCAGAAGGTCAAACATGTCAAGCGGCGATTTCACATGATTCGAGAATGGATATCAGAGGGTGAAATCAGAATTTGCAAAGTTGGAACGGATGACAATGTAGCCGATCCACTTACCAAACCTTTGCCTCAAGTGAAGCACAACAAGCATGTTGAGGCAATGGGAATCAATCATGTAGGAGACTAGCTTTGATTTCCTTGTTTAGTGTTTTAGTTAATTTTGAGAAAAATTAATGTAAGACGCTAAGGAAAACCATTCAAGTTTTTGAGTAATATAAAATTTCATGCAATATTTTATTACTCCGTTATGCTATTTAATTGTGGTTTAGGATTAAATAATGAGTCCATTTGATTCTGAGAATATTCAAAATAGGGTATTAAGACCAGTCTTGGTAAGGAAACACCTATTAAGTGAACATTGAATATTATAATCTAAAATTATCCCTAATCAAGGTCATTTAAACGATGGACGATTAATGACCGATTGAGATTAGTGTGTAGTTTGATTTATAGCACTGTTTCATGTGCTACAAGGACATGATTGTCATAAATCGTTTGCACAGGTATTGGTTTAGAACCATACTGGATCGACCTATGAGAATACTTTAAGAAATTAAAAAATTTGTCATAACTATACTTCTCATTATGGCTATCGAAACCTATTTCCTCGACCATGAGTATTGTGAGTTCTCTTGTTTGAGTACTAGTTTGCTTTGATGTTGTCAAACGTCTACCGTAATAGGGGATTATAACGGCAACACTCGGGCGACTAGGTCCTCTAAGTAAGAGGAGCTACATTACAAGACTGGGAATGTCCCCCTACTAAAATAGGGAAGATGTCTTTGTTGTATACAAGGCCTCTCGTAGAGCGAGACTGTAAAATGCATGGCCGTGCTCGGATGGATTTTAGAAATCATCTGTTTATTGACAGTCGGACTCGAAATCGGGAAACACTTATGGACGGAATAAGGATGACAAAACAAATCTTACCTTATAGTTCATGAAGAGACATTAAGCGACATAGGAAAAAGGATGTACACAAAATGCGCACTTGTCCGGAAGGACAAGTGGGAGATTGAAAGGAATGGTGTCCTTCGAACAAGTGTACTATTTCGTTAGTGGGTTAAGAATTATTAGAAAGCTTATATATTCAGTGAGGTCAAGTGATCGGAATGTCTGGGTGGAGGCCGCTTCCGATCAGTATTATTAATGAATAATTAATATTACAGCTTAATCTTGACTGAACCCTTTGGGTCACACCCAAGCATTCAACAAACCGAAACGACGAATTAATTCAGAAGGAATTAATGAGTCGACCGAGTAATATTTATTAAGACGTCGGAAATTCGAGCTTAGAGCGTCGGAAGTCGAGTCGAAAAATAGTGAAAGACGAGACGAGAAATAGTAATAAATCAACAAAAGACCAAAATACCCCTAGCATCGGAATGCCCAAGCAAACCGAGTGCTAAGGGCGTGTGGCCTAGCATGGTGGCTAGCATGCGCACCAAGCCGAGCCTAGGCTGGCTTGTGAGCGCTAGCGCACCCATGCTAGCATCGCAAGGCTAGGCGCTGCCTAGTGCGTGCTAGCATGCTAGGCACAGCCTTGTGCGCGCAATGGATAGCAAGCAATGCCGCAACAAGCTGCAGCAGCTAGCACGCTAGGCACGCCAACTCGCGACAGCTAGCAGCACAATGGCTAGGCCATTGCTTGCTGCCTAGCAGCGCTGGCCAAGGCACAAGGCCAGCAGCAGCCCGCACAATCATGCTGGGCTTGCTGGCCAGTTGCGCCTGGCAGCCCGCATGCGAGTGCTGGGCCTGGTGGGCGTGGCTGCCACGGATAGCAGAACATGGCAGCCCACCTTGGCTGCCTTGGTGCCCAAGGGAGGGTGCCATGTGGCTTGTGGTCCTTGAGTGTGTGTGGAGTGAGGTGGCCGGTTATGGGAGAGGGAGTAGGGAGCAAGTTTGGTCCCCTCCCCCCTTCTCCAAGTGGTCCTCACCTAACCACTCACATGAGCTTGCCACTTGTTGATTTATTACTAGCTTGATTATTAATTTTTTTTTAGCTTTAAAATAAAATGGAAAAATCATACTATCCCACATTGATGGGAGAGTAAATGATACTCCCATCATTTCCTATAAATACCCAAGTATGGGCATTGGGAATGATTCTTGAGTAAGAGTTGAAAAAGGCATCACAATTAGTGAAAACCTTTGAACTCAATATAATTACTCGGGTTTTATTGGTCGGGTCTTGCTAACCCCAAGACATTGGACCTAGTCGGTTTTGTTGGTGCGGGTGGACTTCGTTGGAGGTCTCCGTGTGAGCGGGACTTGAAGCTTTCAAGTAAGAGCTCATTTTGGAGCGAAGCACGCTTCAAAGGTAATTAACTTATCTTAATCTTGTGATTAATTTAATTATGTTAATGGATTTATTTATTGCGAGTGCGGACTTGTTTTTGGGTTTGTTTCGGCGGTGAGTCGGACTCACCAAACCCTAACACGAACCGGTGATTAAGGGCTCGGTATATGTGATACCGGGGCATTTGGACCAAGTATTCAAGACCCGAAGAGGAAATCCAGATTGGCCCGAAGAATTGGAGCCCAATCGAACTCCAAATAGTGGCCTAAGAGTGCCACCCGGCCAAAGAGGCAGGCGCCCGAAGGCGCGCCCGGGCGGGCTAGGGAAGAAAGGCTGGCGCTTGAAGTCGCGCCCGTCCGGGCGCGCGAAGTGTATCTAAAGGAAAAAGGCGCGCCCGATCGGGCGCGTGTTATTATTAGCGGTTAATTATCGACGTTTTAAGTTTGTTTTAGTTTAGGATTCTCGCTTAGTATAAATACTTTTCCGTTAAGCGAGTTTAGTATCTTCTTTTTACTCTTTCTTAAATTTTCTTTCTTTACTTAGGGTTTAGATTAGTTTCTCTCACATATACTTTTGTTCTTAACTTTATTCTTAATTCCAGATTTCTTTGGTAACGATTTCTCTTCTCTTAATCTTAGTTATTTATTTTATTCCTTTTATAATGTCTTGTTTATTTACTTTGATTTGTTTAGTTTTGATTATGTGTGAGTAGTTCTATTTCTAGGGTTTGTGGGGATCCATAAATAATATGAAGGGGTAATTTATTGTTGTTAATTGTCAATGCTAGATTAATTTCCTATTGATTGATTTAATGCTTTGTGACTAGATTTGCACAGATCTTTTATGCATGAGTTTAACAATATTGATTCGAGATTCGAAAGATAAGAATTAATGTTTATGTCTAGTTTCAATAGGCAGGTTAATTTATAAATGGTTAAGTCGAGATTCGAGATATGAGATTTAATACCGGTAGATTAATTATGTGATTGTAATACGTAGCGAAAGCCCTTAATGATCTGATTGATTATTATGCTTTACCCTGGAATATTATTTATTGGTGAACCTGTGCCCTAGGCCTTTTATTTATTGTTTTCTCCTTATTCTTAATCTTCGTAGTTTAGTTCCCTTCGATTATAATATTTTGGTTACTTTATAATTTAGATTACTATAATTAATTAGGAATAGTAAGACTCGTTTCTCTGTGGATTCGACCCTACTTCCCTATCTACATTAGTTGGAGGATTTAGGAATACTTTTGATTAGGTGATACGACTTTAGCCTGTCAAGATCCCCCGAAGGAATTGTTTGAAGTAGGTCGTATTGTCTTTTTACCCTGAAGGGATAATAAAAAAAGTCATCTTGGTTAAGCTTGGAAGACGACAGAAAGGTTGCTTGTTGACACCAACCATCTTCTCTATTTTCCACCAAGGGATGACCCACTTGATAGCAAAGTTGCAAGAGGCAAAGACTTTTTTCCACTCATGGGGCCCCACCTTAGAGAAATGTTTCTTTCGCCTCACAAAGCAATTTGGAGTATATTTTTCAACATTGTCAGTAGGACTAATTAATTCTAGTCCCTCCATTAGCCATATCTGCAAAAATTCAATACAAATAAATTAATATTACTATACAAAAATATGTTTTTGATTTCTGTAATTAAAAATATTATTTTTCTACCTGTAATAAAATTGGAGAGCCCCGAAAAGGTGCTTTTTAATTTCTCTTCAGTTCATCAAGACTAAGCATAGTCTCTCCAACAATTAATGGCATTGGATTTCTCCTAGATTTGATGTGCTCTAAAACAGTTAATATAATTGCTTGGCCCTCATTAGTTCTACCACTATTGAGAAGATATTGGTTAAGCATACAAAAGAGAAAAGCCCTTCTTCTATAAACATGAAAAAATTCACTAGTGGAAAAATAGTTATCCGTAACGGGCAAAAATAACCTATTCGTAACGGGCAGCGGGCGTTACGTATGCTGCCGTTACGGATAGGCTATGTTATTCGTAACGGGCAGTGCCCGTTACAAATAACGGGTTATTCGTAACTGGTAGTTTGACTACCCGTTACGAATAACCCGTTATTTGTAACGGACAGTTTGACTGCCCGTTACGAATAACCCGTTATTTGTAACGGACTGTTGACTGCCCGTTACAAATAACACGTTATTTGTAACGGACAGTTTGACTGCCCGTTACAAATAATCCGTTATTTGTAACGGGCAGTCAAACTGTCCGTTACAAATACAATTGAACCCAAATTAAAAAAAAAATGCAGCAGGTGATACCTGCGACACTGCTAACCTTTTATGATGCCAAATTTTAATTACTATTATCAATATTCAATAATAAAAAATGTAAAATTTAATTAATTATAAAATCAAAGATACAATTTTACAACAACTCCCTAACATGAGTCAAAAGTTACTACATAAATAATAATCCTTAATACAACAATGAAAGTTTATAACTATATAGAGTGAATAGTTAATTTGTATGCAAGGCTCGACCAACTGACAAAAGATGAATGCACCCTTTGCATGAACAGCATTAACCATTTTCTTCCATGCTTCGACTTGCTCATTAGTGTAAATTCCTAGGCAATGGGGAAATCTGCAGCATAATTCTGTTTTTGTTAGACACAGGGCAGTAATATGTTTGACAGGAAGACCATAATATAAACATAGATAGTGAGCTAAAATTATAAGAATGTTACTAGCTAACTAAAAAAACATAGGATGGGAACCCGAAAACCAATTTGGTTTTTCCAGTCCGGGTTTGTTAACTGATAATTTCTCAAGTAGCAGAGATGCTATAAGAGAAAATGCTGACATATGCCTTAGAGCCAGGGACAAAACTAAGAAAGGGGTGGAGTATGCCTAGCTACTAACCCCCACCTCCCCGTCTTAGCGTCATGGCCCATCTATTTTATAAGATGGCACGAGATGAGCATTGAAATTCATTTTTATAGCACAAGAACTTCCTGGTACAAAATTGAGCAATACGAGTCACAATGTAGCAAAAGTTACCTGGGTTTTGGACTCCAACATTGGTGATACGGAAGGAGTGGACGGCCCACTTCAAGTAGCTATCGTGCTCAGGCTTCCTGAGTGGCAAACCTTCTCTCAAAGCAACCTCGTCAATTTGGATAACATTGATACCAGCCTTCTCAAGATCCTCAACCTCATCCTTGATGGCCAAAGCAATTTGGTAGCAAGTCTCGTGCATGAATACATAATAACACAAATAAATATATGAGAAATTGAGCCACAATCAAAACAATCTATTTGGAGCAGAGTTTTATTATAATCCCAGTTTCTAAGGATCAAATATGATATTCACAACGAAAGGAATTGTCACAAAACTATATAAAAAGTAAGTGTTAATAAAAAATAAAAAATAAATAAGAAAAACTTATGGCAAGCAAAATGTAGTAGCATAAGGGTTTACCTCATCCTTCTGACCAGACAATGCCTTGGCCAAAGCGTTAACTTCAACAACTTTCTGTGCAGCAAATACAAGCCATGAATTGATTTCATCATCAAGCTTTAAGTCTCGTCAACAAGATTAACAGTAGTTTGAAGAAGTGAACAGGAAGTGGAGACCACAAGCTTGTCTGCAAGCAAAGAACAACTAAGTTAGCCGAACGTCTTTATTAGGCGACATAAATTTATTTGTTTGAGATACAAGTTAAGTCACCCTTAGCAGGCTTGGACAACATTAAGTAGGAGACTGGTCCAACAAGAATTGGGAAAGTGTCTACTCCAAGCTGTAGGACAAATGATAAGATAAGTTACTTCGATAATCATGAAATATTTATAAAAAAAATAAAAAGGGATTGTACTGGACTTATAAAGACTACTTAAGAACAGAAGTAGCTCATATCAGCAGTACATATCCCCTGACAATCAAGAACCCCCCGGGGACAAGGGTTAGTTATTGATGGACCAGAAAATAACAATAATCTAAGGTAAACAAGTGACAAGAAATCCTCAAGGGAAACCTTAAACCTATTTGTGAAAATTTATTTGTGAAATTACTGTTCTAGGCACATTTAGTAATTTCTCCAAGTTAAATTCGAAAAGAGAAATTATTGTTATGGGATCCTATGCTTTCAACAATTATGTCAAAATTTAAACTGAAGCTTATCAACTAGATACTCTGCATATCTTTTCACCCATTATAGCTGGAAATAAAGTGAACTTGACTTGATCGAGATTTAAATGAGCTAGGCCAATCACTGCATAGCTTGGCTCAAATAAGATCATGAACAGACTTGCATTTCTAGATTAAGGAGTTCTAGTTATAAACCGCAGTTAATATCACAAAACAGCAAAAATAAATGAGTTGGTAAACCAAGATAGGCTATCATTAGCTCTAGCTCTGCTTTATCAACTCTAGTTGAGAATATATGCACATACCCAGCTGCTTCATGGCCAAAAATGCAAGGAAACAATTGTGTAGCAGTACTGTCCTGCAAAATATAGAGAATATTTGGAGTTTTCAGCTCTTGAAAATGATAGTTCATAAAATTCAAGGGATACAAACTAGTATGGAATGAAAATAGAATGGTAGTAGAGGCGTCGCTCGAAGTGCGCCTACGTTAAAGCATGTGGTGAATATGCTTGGCACTCATAGGAAGTGGGAATTAACTTTACGATTAGGGACAACGATTAGGGACAAAGAAAAGTAGGGAGCCGCCAACAAGTTTTTAAGGAACTTGTAAACCGTTCACGGATCATAAAAGGCAACCGCGATAAAGGGACAACGATAGGCAACAACGATTGACCCGTGAAGGTTACACCCCATTCATAATCCATGAGATTACTAACTCCATATGGTTCGGAACCACGAAAAGAGGATCGGGGATGATGGTACGAAGTGAGTCATGGAGTCACATTCGCCCGTATTGGCCTCTACTCGATTCTTATATTGAAAAACATTCCTGTGATCTCAAAGGCATACAAACAAAATATTCAATTTGCTCCAAACTATTATTAAGCTAAATTGGTTTAATATTAATGCAACATAATTCTAAAATATTGGTGATCACTTGATTAAATAACAAGATTAAAAAGGATCCTAAACCGGTTGTCCAAATTATCTTATTATGCGTGATTTTCAATTACATATTCCCTTTAAACATGCAATATGGTGATCAATAAAAAATATAAAAGAATAAACATTAATATTAAAACCAATTTAATCACAATTCCAACAACACAAAATCGTTAGAAAAATGATAAAAATAAAAGGAGCATGATCCTTACTTTGATTCTGTTTGTTTGCAACTACAAAATAATAAACGAGTTAGTAACTTCAAGGAAATAAATAAAACAATAATGAAATTAAATTAAATAAAGTATAGTTGATTTTGGGGCCAAACCCTCAAACAATTCTACCTTTCACGCCTTGGCTTAAGGATAGAACCACGAGTAAAGTATGGACTACTTTGAGTACTTGAAGAAGGAATTTTGAAGTAGAAAAGGGTAGGCTAGTGTTTAGGCTAAAGCATAGAAGAGAGAAAATAAAATTAGAGAATTACTCGGTGCCCCGTTCATCAGAAATGAGGGGGTATTTATAAGGAAAATGTGCTGAGGGAGCACACAGAACCCTAAAATGATAAAAACCCTAAAAAAGTATCCCGTGACACGGTCAAACTGTACCGTGACATGGGAAGCTCCACCGTCAGACGGTACACTTTCCCGTGACACGGTACACTTTTGGCGTGACGCGGGAAATTTTCAGAAAACGGGATAGAAAACGCGTCAATGGTTTACGCGGAAAAGACACGGAATGTCCCGTGTCACGGGAAATCCCATCGTCTGACGGGAAGGATTCCCGTGACACGGTTGGTACCTGCCGTGGTGCGGGAAATTCCTGCCTGTTTTTCCGTCTAAATACATTTTTAACCCTAATTTCCTTCGGCATTTTTAGTGCCGATTGACAATTTCGGGCCTTTTTTGAATTTTTATTATTCGGGCTAAAATAAGAAAATAATTAAATAAAAATAAATAAAGGGTTTGGGCCAAAAATAAATAATAAAACAATAAAATAGAAAAGGTTTGGGCTAAAAATTAATTAATAAGTTTGGGCTGAAATTAAAACTATGCTTTTACCAAACATCAAGACTAATCCATGGACTGTTCAAAAATATGAATTTAATAAAATACGATTTTTTAAGCACTCTCGGGATTAAATACTAAACCCGGCCAATAGTGGCGGTGAAAGGTTGTTCATCATCGGGTTTGGTTTTGGGGAGACATTTTTAGGTGTCTACAGGTAGGTGAATAAGACATACCTTAGCCTCCCAAAAGTAAAAGTTAGTAAGACAAAGTGTAGTGTACTTGATCTTAACTCTGACTTCCAAGGTCTGTGGTGGAGCAACCTCTACTTGATCAATCACCAACGGCTTCCTGGCCTCCCATGCTACAACAACTATACAACAAACCAATAATAAATCAACAAAGTGAAGATGATATTTTGTAGTTAACACGACGAGGCTGAGATTCATACCTTTGCAGGGTATCACAAGGCCAACAGTACTAGACATTGGCAATGTTCAGATCAATCAGATGAGATCTCACTTCGAAATTACTTTCCAGGCACATTCAGTATCAACCTTGAATTCAGACGATTTTAAAAAGCCCATGGCCCGGGTAGGATCCTTGGCAGCCCCTCTCGTATGTAATAAATCGAGTACTTTGAAATTAGTAAGAAAGCCAGCATTGTAGAGGTTGCATAAAACAAAACCTAACATGAAGAGGCCATTGTAGTATATAAAAATTTCTGAGCGCATGTAACTTATCAGGTAGAAAACATCAACTAAAAATCACCAACATTCACCAATTGCAGATTAAAACACCAAAGAATGAAGAAATGAAAGAACCTTGCTTACAGAATCAATAACCAATAACCATATTCTCACTTCAACAACAGATTAACAGAGATTATACCAACAACCCATAAATTACCAATAAAAATGAATGAATTGGGGATAAATTGATCGATTTCGATAAAGAACTCGAAGAACCCTAGAATTAATCAACATGCCATATCAGGTTTCTTAATTCTCTCTATAAACAAAAAAAAATACAAAAAAAAATCGGCAATCAGGTATTAATTGACAAAGATGAACTAAATTCATTACTGATTGCATGTATTACTTGTTTCAATTGAAGAACATATTTTTTTTAAGATTTATTATTCATTTAGACATACAAAGGATAATTGAACCATATAAATGCCAAAAATGAATCAAATACAAATTGCATGTAGAAAAAAATAAAGCAAATTAGAATTCACAAGAACAAATTCAATAACTTAAACAATTAGATGCCCAAAAATCAATTCAATAAGAGGAAAAAACAATTGAAGGACTTCTTAACTCACGATCTAAAATGCCCAGATATTAATTCAAGAAGAGGAGAAAGGGCTTGAGTTTGAAATGAAAGAAAGAGGTGAATGACGGGGAAGAGATCGAGGATTGGAGAGGAGAGAGAGAGGGATTAAGGGACTGATGAGAGAAAAAGAGGTGAATGACAGCTTTAGGTGAAACTCTAAAAAGCTCTCATCAGTTGGGCCAAGTTTGGGCATTTGTATCGGGCACAATACGCCTATTACGTGTAATATATTATTCGTAACGGGAAAAATAGTGTCTGTTACGAATACTTATTTATTCGTAACGGACACTAATTTGTCCGTTACAAATACATACATATTCGTAACGTACACTATTTTTCCCGTTACGAATAAATAAGTATTCGTAACGGACAATATTTTGCCCGTTACGAATATCTTAATTGTAACGGGCAAAGCTTTGCCCGTTACAAATAGCCTGTTACGAATGAGATTTTTTCCACTAGTGATTCATAATAAGGTCTATCAAAGTAATGGCGTGTAAATTCTTTCAAATTAATTACACTACCATCTACAATATTTGTTAGATATTTGTCTCTTAAATTAAAGAAGCGCTCAAAATCTTTATAATAATATTCATTTATTCTAGGGATTACCGCAAGATCTAATGAAGGGAAGATGGCACCAAATTCTTCCGGTAAAGGGCTAATTTCATCACACCCTAGTCTAAAACAATGAGTATCTGTGTCCCAATATTCTACAGCGGTATGAATAAAATCTATATCAAGATCTACCCCCTTAGCACCATAAATACCTCCCATGTGAAAAAAGTCAAGTTCTTTTCACTCTTTAGCAATTAAAGATCGACACCATTCACGAGTGAAGTTGGTAAAACTCTTAGTAACTAAAGACATGATTATTTTTTCAAGAAGCTAAGACTATGAAGAATCTGCTGAAATTATGAAGAAATTCGACAGATTAGGGGGCTATTTATACACAAAATCGATGCAGTTTCAATCCGGAAAGGATTCGGAGTCAACATACTTCAGCGCCAAACGACGACTTTGTCGCCTGGCGACAAAAACAACGCCCGACGCCAGCACAAAACGCGTGGCGACACGTGACGCTGCAGCATTTTATCAACAAGCTATTCAAACCGCGTTTTTTTTGGCTATGATTCGAACTCATACAATGA